CTCAGGGTAATGTTTTTGTTCATGAGTCCAAACAAGCAGAACAATTTCATGCTGGCTTGGCTGTGCCATGGCACAAAGGGCTCTTCAGGGAGCTGGATCCGACCTGAACATCTCCTGGTTGGGGCAGAGCAGAGGTACTGGGGGAAATACAAACCATATTCTCCTCCGAGGCTGCTGAGAAGATAGCACAGGTTGTGGTGCATGAAGCAGCTCCCGGGGGTTTCTCGCTGCCCTGCTCCCTGTGCTGCCCCTGCCTTGAGCAATGAGCAGCACTGATAGCCAGGGGCACGGAGGGCTGGCCGCTGGGGGATATTTAGGGAGATGGCCTGAGAAATGGCACATCTCTATTAGGTCTGGGCTCGCCAAGCCCTCCAGGATGAATCCCTGCCTGCAGGGTGCAGCCGCAGTCGCTCTGTAACGCACATACAAATGCGTGTTACAGCTGCAAGCCGTGCAGTGCCACTGCTGCCGAGCTGCAAGTACATTCCTGAGTTCTGGCTCTCCTCATGCTACATGGCATCACTTATTTATAACTGCATGCACTGCAGGAATAATATTAGACTGATGGCCTCACACAGGCACACTGTTGTTCTATTTATGTGATTTGCTCTTCTTCACAAGCTGTTGGTCTCCCAAATGCCAAAACACTCTGCATAGCATAGAAAAAGACACAGATTTTTTTTCCCTTTTATTAAATCTTCACCAACCACACCCAGTCCCAGGTGTATTTAACAGTTTTTCCCAAGTCACCTGGATAATTGCATCTACTATTCCTTCCCCAGTTAGATCGATATCCTTGGTAAATAAGATAACCTGTCAGGTCTGTTGTCCCTGTAGCCAAACGTACATGAGCAATGAAATTGTTTTGCTGAAGAAATAAATGCCTCTCGCTGAAGCTGAGGATCTGGTGACCCTTCATTAGTGACCTGAGTGACTCATCCCTTTTTGTCCGTGCACCGCAGCCTCCCACTGCGCTGTAAAAGCTGCGCCACAAAGTCCTGCTGCCCGGTGTACGGTGTAATGGGGAGCTGGGACCCACGGGTGCTTCCTGCTCACGCTGCTTCTCCTCTGTCTTCGTACGTGGTCTTCACACCTTGATCTGGGCCAGGGGCTCTCATGTTATGGACATCTCTGTGCAGCAGAGACCCCATGGTGCAGTGTTCCGGGGCTGACCAGACATTTGGCCCTTTGCACCACCTCAGTCCCACAGCAATGTCCCAAGCACCCCCAGCCACATCCCCAGCACCCCCACACTTGTCTGAGCAGCAGCTCCCGCTTCCCTGGGGCTGTGGAAATCTCTGACTGGGTGCCAAATGTGTATGTCCATATTTTCAACCCACGTTTGTTTAACAGCCAGGGCTTTACTGGCCATACCAATGCCCTGAAGTGAGGTGGGCAGCTCGGTCAGAGCCAGATTTCAGCCAGAGGACACATATCACACACCATGAACTCTGTGTTCACTGGTGGGGGCAAATCCTCCTACTCCAGCGGGCAAACCTCTTGTAAACCTCTGCAGCCTGCAGCTGTTAAACAAGGCCTGGCAATCACTTTGCTGAACCCACAGGGTCCCTGCCACCCCTGTGGCACTCACTGCTCACTCTCGCTCCCCACCACTCGTACATGGGAGCCACTCACCCCCTTGCTTTGCTGGGTGCCTGTGGAAACACAAAACCCCTGGAAACACAATGTGTTTAGTCTCTTTTTAGAAATCTGTGCAAAGTGAAATACAAAATCAAACAGAGTTGAGTCCTATGCATTTAGCTGGTATTGATAGTGGTATTTTCTTCTTGTAGAGTATTTCTCATGCCAAGAAAAAGAGGT